CAAGAAATACCAGCAATATATATATATATATATATAACGTATAGCATAAAAAATAAATACAAAAAGAAAACATGAGGAAAATTAAGAAAAAGAATAAGTTTCAATTTACTGCGCATAAGCTGCAAGTAAATAGAACTCATAAAATAACTTCAAAATGTAGAGAAAACGACAGAACAATGAAAAAAGGGGGGAAAGAAAAATAATAATAAAAAGGTTCGTTTTTTATTTTTATTATTCTTTCCTCCCCTTTTTTCATTGTTCTGCAATTTTTTCCATGTTTTCTCTCCATTTTGAACTTACATATATACATATTTTTTTTTATATAGATATATACAGCATACTCTCCATATCCCAAAATTGAAGGGACGCTAAAAAAGTCCCGAGATAATGAGTTTTCGAGATAGCAAGTTCAGAACTAAATATGTTGTAAAAAGTATAAAAATCTATTCTAAATTATTACTCTAAAAAGTAAAGTCATGAAACAAAAGAATAGCTACTAATAATTGTGTATGTAACGATAGTTGACTATAAATCTAAATACAATAATTATAATTTTATTTTCAAAAGTAAGACAAAAATAATTATGCATTAAATTGAAAATAGTTGGTTTACAACAAACCTACGTTGTGATTTTTCTGAAAAAATTCATTTTCTCTTTTGAGAATCTTTTTTAATAAAATCAAAAATTATAAATTTTAGCAACAATCAGATTCTTAAATTAAATTATGTGGCTTATATTTTTAATTTATTAAAATATTAAATTCTAGTAATCCAAAATGTTAAAATGACTCACATTTTCCATATTCTCAACTGTTGTAGTCAACAAATGCATGACGTTTTCACACATTGCCCTCAGAGCTTCATTACTCCATAACTAGGATCACCAGGCCTTCTACCCTACAGTAATAAATACACAAGAAATTTAACCATCAAATTTGGAGTAATCTAGATCAGGGTGCATAGCCAAATTTCTCCAATAAAAAATAAGTACTTTTTTAAGTACTTTTTTAAGCACTCAAAATATATTTGAAAGCACTATATACATTAACATGATAAAATAACAAGTTTCTTACTACAAACTCTTTTCTTGATTATATTAGCCATTATAAAATCATCAAGAGATTTTTCGGTTCGATATTAGAAGGAGTAAAATAAAGCCTGAAACAGAGAATATCTAGCAAAATGCAGATAAGTTGCACATGAGAGTGCAAGAATCTCATCGCATCCAGGTTAGTTGACGCACACGCTGACTCCCAAGTATTTCATTAAATATGTAACATGATTGGTGCTATCATACGCTACGGACTGACGGTGCGCTGTACGCTGAAATGGATTGTGGTTGAATGAATTGTAAACACGTTGAATCGAACAATGTGAAAACCCTGCTTCGCAGCAACATGGTAAAGAAAGAAAAAATCTCTATCTCATTTTCGAAAAGGGAAAAATTAAGCACTTTTTAAAAACTCCCCATAAAAAAAAACAATTTTAAGGATTTTTTAAAAACGAAAATCGAAAATAAGTACCTTCAAGCACTTTCTAAAATCGATAAGCACCATGTGTAATAAGACAATTAATTAATGATCAATCAAATAAATGGATAATAGTGACTCATTTCATGATAACAGAGCTGGTATATAATCTGGTAAAAAGTATAGAGCCCACTGCCTATTAAAATAACGTCTGTACCAAGAATGTTTGATTTCAAAAGCCTGCTGCCGCTTTTATAAACCGAAATGTCTACACTTAACAAATAAATTTCAAAGTAGAACTTAACAAATTCTGTAAAAGCTCAATTGATTAGTACATTTTTTAATTTATATTAAACATGAATTTTAATTAAACATGAGCTATATTTTTTTATAATTTACAAAAGGATTTTAAAATGTTAGCATATTTGATTTGTGAGACTTAATATTACAAAATCAATAGAGTTCAAAATTAAAAAATCAAGATTAAAAAATCAAAACTTTCAATATTTTCCTTTTCTATCTTAGCTTAATCCCCATCTAGTTTTTTTTTGTTTGTTGACGCACGATGAACTTTTTTAATTATATGCTTTTGCGACTTAAAATTGAAAAGATTTTAATTACTTTAAGTGTATACCCAACAAAAATTTGACTTTTAATAATTTTATAAGAGGATGATTTTAGCATGTTTTGATATTGTTATGATTCCGCTCTTACATACATGATTTCAAAAAGAAGATGATAACATAATTCATTGATTTTATTAGTGGTTGTTACTGTACTTGCAAAAAGCAATGCTGAGATAAACTTAAAAAATATTTTTAGACATTTTAAATTAATTGTAGTTAAACAATTCTCAGTAATTTTTATTTGGATACTGGAAAAGATTTTCAAATGAGGGGTCCACATAAATTTTCTTTCCCAGAGATAAAAAATAGCATGCATTGATACCAAAAACATTTGGTACTGGAATCAATGCATGCTAGTGTTTGTGTTGTATAGTCATAGTCGTAACAAAAAAATATAGATTAAAATAAAGGATTCATTAAGATTATACCTATGTACGGCCAATCATGAAATCAAAAATTATTCAGCATTCTCTTTTTTGTTTTGCACACTGCATTTTATATCAATCTAATTTTCATACATATTGAAAGACAAAGAAAAATATCTTACCCAGGTAATAATAAATACTCAGGTAAGAGTGGGTTTAAATTAAATATTTGAAATATATCAGATATAAAATTAATTCAATGAATCATCAATTGTGAAAAATAATGAAAAAATAACGCAATCAGAGATGTAAAAAATTTTCAATCTAAAAACTATATTTTTAAATCTAAGAAATATGTTCAAAAATTTGAATATTATTGTGAATAAATTTCAATAGCAGTTAATTGAAGTTAAATGGTAATTCACAAGAGATTTTTTTTTAATTACTGATATTTTCTTAACAATCATGTTTTTTCAACTAATTTTTCATACCAGTATAATTTAAGGCAAAGCAAATTTAGTTATTAGGGAATCAGATAAAGTTTCTAAAACCTACGTGGGAAAAAACACAAATGAAATTGCTAACATGGCACTTTCAGTGTCAGCAAAAACTTACCATAAATGTTTACAAATTTTGTACAAAACTGAAGATAAAGATTGTAAAAGTTGCTTTCTTGAGCGACTTCTCATTCACCTAATCACTATTTCAATTGCACAAAAGAGATAAAAATCAAGGTTTCTGTGTTCATATGCAAGTTATAAATTATTAAGTTAAGCTTTCTGTGCTTAAATGTTTAATTAACAAAAGTTTATAAGTTTTTTTTAATAACATCATCAACAATTCTCAAATGTGTAAATGGTATAAGAAAGAAAATTATAAATGAAATTAACTTACAGGTGGATCGTCCGGGAGGGCACATTGATGAATAATAAGCCAAACCAAATCAATACCACCTTCTTTCTTTAAATGATCATGATGAGCTAATGTCACTATAACCTCAGCAATCATTTTCTTCACCTAAATGGTAAAGTAAATTTCATAATAATAATAATAAATTCATAACAAAAATCATTATAATAACAATAATTCATAATAACAATAATTATCAATAACTCTGTTAGATTAAACATACCCATATTGATGCAATCACTTTATATTATATTTTCTGATTCATCAATTCACCCAAAAATGTCACTTACCTAGTTCTTTTACTAAGCTTTTCAGTTGTGTAGGTATAAATCTTTCTGTTTTGAGCACTAATTTGGAATGTTGCTCAGTACTGATTTATTATTTTTTTAAATTTATTTTTTTAATTTACTCCATGCAAAAAATGGGTATTCATCTAGTTCATACATTAAATAATTTAGATATTTGCATGAGTCTTTTTCATGAAGGGCATTCTGAATAAACCTCTTTGAAATACAAGTTTATAAGCATGAATTTCTTTGAATGTGTATGAAATTTTGCCCAGAGGTCCACTAATTATAAATAAAAGCAAACTTAACTTTTCATAATTCAAATTTTCAATTATTACATAAAAGAATAAAGTTTTAAAAAAATAGCATACGAAACAAGGTTTGAGAAAAGCTTCCGCTTACAAATGATTTTTGAAGATTAGTAAAAGGGCTATAACCTCAAAAGGATTCTAATAATTTTTTAAAATATTTTTTGATGCTTAAATGACACCTTCTAAATAGCTTGTTTTGGTAGCATAAATAGTTTAACATTTGCAACTAAAGTAATTTTCTTGATTATGAAAAAAAGTTAAAATTGATTTCGTATGAAANATTACATAAACAAATAAAGTTTTAAAAAAATAGCATACGAAACAAGGTTTGAGAAAAGCTTCCGCTTACAAATGATTTTTAAAGATTAGTAAAAGGGCTATAACCTCAAAAGGATTCTAATAATTTTCTAAAATATTTTTTGACGCTTAAATGACACCTTCTAAATAGCTTGTTTTGGTAGCATAAATAGTTTAACATTTGCAACTAAAGTAATTTTTTTGATTATGAAAAAAAGTTAAAATTGATTTCGTATGAAATATTGGAATGAATAGTTGAGTTAAAATAACATCGTATTTATGAAATGGGACTTTAGACATTAGTTCTCAAAAATGAAAGGCCGTTGCAATAAGAGTTTGTATAAGAAGCATAAATTTTATAATAATATATAAAATAATAATACAGAAAATAATCGCACATATTATATTACAAAAATTTTTTAAATTATGAGGTAATTAGAATCAAAATCCTTCTTTTAAATTTATTCAATTCCTTTTTTTTAAAAAAAATCATGCTAGTTAATATTCAAAAACTAATGAACAACTTTGCAACAACAGATTTATAACAAAAAATTTAAATTTATAAATGTATATTCCTTAAACAAATGAGTCCTTCATCTATAATTAAAATATCATCAAAAGAAAGAATAATAATAAGACTTAACAAAGCAGAGAAAAATAAATAAATAAACTATGTAAATAAGCACAAATGAAAAGATTTGTAAACTAGTTAGTTACATTTGTTTTAAAATTTATTTCTGCTCAAACTCAATTTACCACCTCTTGAAGCGCTCAGTCTTTTTCTTATTGACAAATTTTTGCATTTCTCAATTTTACTGTAAAGATTTCATTTAATAAGTCTTTCATATCATTAATTCCATATTTTTAACGTCTGTAATTGAAGTCAATACTTAGTTTATAATTTTTTCAGCTATGGAGCCCTAAATGATCAATCTTTGCTTGACAGAGCCTCAACTATACATATAAAGTTCATTAGCAGTTGTAAACAAAAAACTAAAGAGAGACTACCAATTATTTTGGAAATATTTTATGTGAAGAATTACTTTTTTTTGTCTTATCATTGTTTAAGCCTTAAAATCAGGTTTTACGTTAGACAGTTTAGTTCACAGGTCTAAAATGGCATCTAGTCTAGTTCTTGATTTGTTTTTAACAAATGCATCAGCTAAAAGTGAATAAAATAAGCTGAATTAAGATTTTCATTATAACGAAAAAGGAAAATTGATTGATATAAAAGTTGAGAATGGTTATCTCTTATCAATAAAACAAATTTCATCAATGCTGAGTTAATTTTTATTTTGAATTGAAGAGTTTGATGGAAGTAGTAAAAACCAAATTTTCATGAATACATCTTTTACATTGTTTATCAATATATATATATTTTCCCATTTTACTTAAAAAATTTAAATGAAAGTAACAAAAAAATTTATAAACAGTGGACTATTCATGATCAAAAATCATAATTGGTAAAATAAAAATTTATTGCCCATAGCTCCTGTGACTCTTTCATGGAAACCTAGGGATACATAAAACACTTTTTGTGAATCGCTGGTCCGTAATATAGTTCCAAACAATGGAGTATGCCTTCAACTTTTTTCATTTATGCCTATTATGTTGTTTTCTCTTTAATGTATGACATACCTTATTTGAAGAATCTAACACTGGTTTGATGCCTGATATAATAAATGGAATCTTTCTAGAGATATGAGTTTCTAATATACATCAAATTTTTAACTAAAAATGAAATAAATATCAAAATTAACTAAGATGATTGATTATCAATTAGCAAGAATTACCTGATGAGTTGATCAAATGTTTGTAAGAGCTCCAATTTTATAAGATTCGTTTCCACTTTCCAACCTTTGAAGCAAGAACGCAACCAGACGATTGGAATACAAAGATGCTAAAAAAATAGTGGGCAATTTAAATATAAATTTATCAAAAAATTAAATTTGATGAAAGTAGAGGCTTTTGACAAAAAAGAAAACAATTGCTGAGGATCATTCGGTGAATATAAAAAAAAATATTACCCTGTTTAGTTTTTGTTCCAATGATTAAGTTTTTATGGACTAAAACTGATCTTATTAGTTTAAAAGGCTGACTTTAATTATGTTATGAAATGAATAATTCTAAGGAACTGAAGGAATATATACTGGTACATATGATTTAAGACTTTAAATTTTTTAAAAATATATTTAAAAATTTATGTTTACAATTAGTTAAAGTTTATGAATGTAATTATAATTGAATTACTGTTAAAATGAATCATAACAATACATTTCAAATTATATAACTGCTTTAAACATTGTTTTATAATAATGTATAATACATGCAAATGCTTGATTCAAATTAATTGAAAATGGAATAAAAATGCATCATAACTCTACTGAAAAATAGGCAAACAAACAAAAATAAATAAATTTCTCATTTACATTTGAAATTTAAAAAAAAAATTCTTTCTTTTTACCTTATTTTTTTGTAGATTGACAAATATTTCGATATAGAATGACTTAATTTATATATTAAGCAAATCAAACTTTAAAAAAAGGTAATTTTTTAAAATTTCAAAACTATAAAAACCATTAAAAAATTTTAAATCTTATATTTACAATGCTTTGTAAATTTATATATCAGTGATTACATTTAAAAAAAAACATTCAATTTAAATAATGATTTTTTTAAAAAAAAAAGAAGTAAATTTAAATGATGATTTGAATTGTGATTTAAATTCAATTCCACACACGCTTGTAAATGGAAAAAATTTCATCCACTTCAAAAGGTGCATATTTTTGAGTTTTAAAGCATTTGTATCGAATTTATCTTACAGAATTTTAAAGTAAATCTGTTACAGATATACATTGGCATGTTTTGTAAGTAAGCTTAATAGCATGTAAAACGATCCAAATAACACATACTTCTACACAATGCATGATGCAAAGCCTCATATTTTAAAATCTGTGCAATAAAGATCTACTATAATAATATTTAAGAATTATTAAGAAATTGGTAATATTCTCCCCCTAAATGGAAATATTTGAAATCGCTGGATAGTTTATCATATTTTTTATAAACCCAAACAATAAAGTAAGTTAACCACTTCCCTTTCCAATTATTTTGAAAAAAGAAAAAAATGCAAAAAATCAACAAGATTTTTTTTTATTTTATTTAAAATACAAGGAACTAAAACAGAGCATAATGTTTGAAGTTGAAATTTAAATTTTTTTTACATGTAAGAAACATTTAACTTAAAATTAGTTTACTATCCCGAATTATCTTGGGCAAATGGAATAAGTTAAATATTACTCTTTGTATGATAGTTCTTAAAAAAGGGACAACACAAAATGATATGAAATGGCAACACAAATGAAGGAATACGCCATTTTTTCAATACTCTTATTACTATGAAAATTCTGCAACCATCGTAAATACAATGACACGAAACTCGTGAGCAGTCCAAAATCAAAACTCCCGAACAAAATTTGGCAAACTTCCAATCACAGCGGATCATGTTTTATGCTTCAGACCAAGAAGTGTTATTCACAAAACAGTAAATATTTTGTTTACATAAGCCTTTCTACATTTAAGAAATTTTAAAATTTTTCAAATAAAGGAAGAAATATTAAATAGTAAAATTTTATATGTACGATAACTTTTCAAGCTATAAACAAAAATTTGCAAAATTTTTTCTGAATTCAGGATAATGTATTATCACTTAATGATCTCACAATTAACCAAGTGGCAGTAATTTAACAATTGTCAGTTATAAATTAATTACATTCCTTGGCTTTCTATTATCTTATCTATTATTTCAGCTATCTTATCTATGAAATCACAACGAATTGAATACGTAAAAAAGTGATCATGTAAATTTGAAATTAGCACAATGCATTAAAAATATCATAATTCGAAAAACCTTGTGAAAAGGGGATAATAAAATGATCAACGAAAAAAAATTGTGATAGAATTGTCACAAATTGAACGTGTCATAAAGTGCTGAGAGAAATTCGTAATTTGCATGCCATAATAACACCGCATTAAAAATATCTGAATTTGAAGAATTTGATTTCATTCCCGAGTAATAACTTCCCCCAAAAAAAACTATTAGCCTACAATGAGAAATTGTGACAGAATCGTCATAAACGCACTTAATATTTCAAACGCATTTAATAGTGAAAACTCAAATTCAAACTTCGAACGTTGTCATAATATTAATTATAATATTATATATGATAGTATATAGTAATAAATATATCAGAATTTAAAAAGAAAAATAGGTGAAAAAGGTCACAAAATAATAATTTTTGGAATCATCATGAATCAAGCACTTCAAAAAGTGATAGCACAAATTTGAAATTAATCTTTCATTCAAAAAGACAAACAGTGGGGCCCTTCTTGCAAAAGCACAGCCTAGAATGAACCCTGGATGTGATATTTAAAATTAATAATTCAAATACAAACTTTCTACAGTCTCATTTAATAAAATATGTCTATTTTCAAATTGAGAATAGTTGATTACTTCCAAACTAGAAGAAACCTATTTTTTGGGGTGGTATTTTGGATGTTAAAGAAAACTTGCAAACAACACAATATACTAAGAAAATCATCAATGTTGTGGTAAAAGTTTTGAAACCATTTAAAGCACAATGTTGTAAATTTTAGAGTAGCAATTCCGAACTTTGAAAAAAAGATATTTTTAGAGCTGTTTCAAGCAATAACTTTGTTTAACCAGCACATATAATTAAAAGACAAGTTTTTTATTTCATTCAGATAAATTTATCGATGCTGCACATAAATTTGTCAATGAACCCAACTCATAAAACTACTGCTTTCTAAATAGTTTTATCTATTTTTTAAGAACAATTTGAAGCAAAATTACGCGGAAAAAAAGGCACACATAGAACAATTCATAGCAAAATTGTCACTGTTATAGTAATTTGGACACTATTAAAGCAACAGTCACACTACTGGCCAACATGGTACAAGAAAACTTCAGTAAGTTTAATTCAAAAACAGAAATATAATAAAAATAAATAAGATATCAACTTACCTTCCGATTTCGCATATCATTAGAACCTTGACATCGCCACAAGAAACTAAATATTTTCCACTACCAGACCACCGGAAACAATTTACACAAGCTAAAATAAAATAATTAAAAAACTTTAAATTCAACAAAAATATTTCATGATGAAAGTGTGAATGTAAATTTAATATTTCTATATTAAGCAGAAAAAAAAATTTAAAAAAAGCACATAGTTTTAGGCAAAAGTTATAACAGCATTTTTAACAGTCACCACTTTTTCAAAAATTTAAAATTGTTAAGCAATAAAAGAAGATTCTAATTAATTCAATTATACCATTAGAACGTTATTCATTATATCATTAGAATTAATAATATCATTAGAATTAATAATATCATTAAAATCAATAATATCATTAAAATCAATAATATCATTAAAATCAATAATATCATTCGAATCAATAATATCATTCGAATCAATAATATCATTAGAACCAATAATATCATTCGAATCAATAATATCATTAGAACCAATAATATCATTAGAACATTGGCATTACCACAAGAAACCAAATTTTTTCCACTACCAGACCGCCATACACAATTTACACAAGTTTAGATCAAAGGATTTAATTAAAAAAACTTTAAATTCAACAAAAACATTCTAGTATAAAAGTGTGCATGTAAATTTACTGTATGGATGTAAAAATAAAAGTGTACATGTGATAAAAGTGTGCATGTAAATTTACTGTGGAATTAATGATACGCAAACTACATAGTAAATCAGTTTTAAAAATATTAATTTAGTATTTAAATAAATGTTAAAATAAACAGGCATAATTTAAATATATTTATTAAACAGCAAATTATTTTGCATGCAACTAATGAATAATCATAATTGAAAAGCTTCAGATCAATTTTATCAGCATTTAGTTTGTGATTTATTTCATCTATAACTCTACTTTGAACATATTTCATACAGTCTACTTTAAATAATAATTTACACACATCCTTTTCTCATAACATTTCGGGATAAAATCTTCAATATCAACGAAATTTGACCAATGCAAATCGCAGCCTTAAGAATCTAAATGCATTCTAAAAAAATTATAATAGACTTAAATTTAATATTTTTTAAACAAAAGTGATTAAATATTGATGATTCTTTTTTTAATAAAAATCAGGTGATTTAAATCAAGCAATATAATTTCTAAATACATAAAAAAAAACCGTGGCAGAATCATGGCGACATTGTCGCAGAACATTAGAGTTCTTGCAGAAAGAATTTTCCTTTAGAATGTAAAAAAACTTTGTTTTCTTTTCTGCAATATAACCAATCATGATTAGCTGAGGTGTGGGCAGCTGTCTATGAATGTTGTGCAATAGAATTACAAACTGCATTTTATACAGAAAGAATATAAAAGTTGATAAAATAATGTATGCATGCTAATTGAAAAATCTGGCTTGATGCTAAATGCCAAGTTATCATCAAGCATTGTACCCAGCCAATCGGATAAATTTTGAATGGTTTATATCATCTCTGATACGGTTTAGACTTATTCAAGAAAGCCTCGTACCTTCTGAGAAATTATAAAACACAAGTTATTACCAGAGTTCTAAGAATTGGAAAAATGTTGGTAGCCACCAAAACTTTTTGGTTGCCAGTAAAAATATTTGCATTTCCTCCAATCCTAGTTTTTTATTATTTTCCCCCCCAAATTTTAAATTTTGTTAAATAAAACACATACATTTGAAACATTTATCACAACATATCAAAATATTAATTTTTTTAAACAGAAATATCAAAATAATAAAAAACTATAGAATAAATAATACACATCTAAGATACTTTCACAATTAAACATTTGCATGTATACATATGTTATGAGAGCTTGCATTCATACGTTAACGTTACAGTTGATTTCATTATTCAAATTTATTAAATGAATTGCACCTTCGGCGAAACTTTAAATTAAAAATTTATGCAATTTCACACAAAAATTATAGGGATTGCAATGGATAAAACAAATTTTACTATTTTTTTGCTGAAATAAAATTTCTGAAATAATTTTGTATTTTTATTAAATAAGAAATTATTTTGTCCCGGAAATTTTACATGGCATTTTGAAAATATTTTGACAGGCTCGATTTTGCTTCGCTTAGTTATTGTTATTGGTACAAATCAATATTTATTATTGTTACAAATCAATATAGTTACAAATTGATTTGTAACAATATAAATATTTATTGTTACGAAACAATATTGTTATTGTTACTGCTCAATAGTTATTATCACAAATGTTTACATAGTTTTTTGCTGATTGCATAATTTTCTTTTCTTTTTTTTACTGAGTTTACAATTGGGTATAATATAGCCTACGTCACAGGTTGTGTTGCTCCTACTAAATTTAACCCATGAACGGCATTTTCTGCGAGCCACAACTTCAAGCCACAAATAAACAAACGAAGTGTTCGATCGTTTAAATAGCTGCTCGCCAGATTTTATTGCATTATAAAGAAAAGTTATTGAAACTAAATACAACTAAATAAGCAACAACAGCTAAAACAAATAACAACAACTACTAATAACAATAACTAAATAAACAACAACTAAATTCCATTCGTTTAGTATTGTGTCATATGTTGTTCCTACTAAATCGAAGTAGTTGTGTTTTTTTCATATTATACCCAATTACAGCTGGTGAATTTTGAATCATACCTTTGATTAATAACACTTTCACACATATGCTCCATTTGTGCTGCTTTTGTAGTGAATTCACATGGTTTATCGATTTTCGTTTCTGTATTTATACAAATGAATTTTTGCATATTTAAAATAGTACAAAATTATGACTCATGAATCTAGGATAGCTGATGTAAGGTCATTTCACGTTCCTTTAGTGGTGAATTCACACTATTCCGATTGTTTTTTCGGCAGTTGCTGGTGTATATTAACATTCATATAAGATTTCTTAAAATTAATATTTTTATTCAAATAAATATTTTTATAAAATATTTTATTATTATATTATTAAAAATAAATATTTTTATTCAAATTAAAAATTGTCACTTCATTACACAAATCAAGTAAATTTAAAATAATTTAAATAAAAGCGAAATACCTTGTCCACCTTCAGCAAACCGCGACCCATCTGGATGTATATTTACAGAAAAAATTGGATGACCTAAAAAAAATTCACATATTAAAACAACATTTATGCATTGTCAAATACAAAGGCATATGAAGCAATGGGACTTTAAATAATTATAAATCTCATTTTTTAATGTCTTAATCAAGTAATAATTAAGATTAACCAAATATAAACACAGAACAAATTCTAGAGCCATAAAGGAATATTTAAAACTTCCTGTGAATCCCTTCGCTTATGTTATTTAAGAGAAAATGCATGAACCAACTTTATATTCTAGGAAGTTTTAAGATTGAAATTGTATTTAAATTAGCTTGTAATTTCACCATTTATAAGATTCTTTTGTATTTTATTTTAAAATTCTAAGAGGTAGTGAGCCATAAAAATTGATTAAGAAAAATAACCTTAACAACATTAATAAAGTGCAACAGGTTGCTATACTACGTTCAAAATTTTTTTTTCTTCGTTTTTTTATATTTAACATAAAATAAATGGATTTACAAATTGATCGGCTCATAGTCATAGAAGTCATATTGTAAATAGTACAATTACAATATAATTTGACAATCTTTTTACGCCTGGGCACCAAAACAAATAACAATTAGTAACAAGCAAAAGTTTTATTACAAACAAATTTTAACTAATATTGTTAACCACCTAAAGGTCACTTTTTATATTTATTTCTTTATATAGTTAACCATCCACTGAGTTTATTCTGATTCATAAAATAGATGAAAAAGTTGTATTTTTCAATTCCATCCTATAATTAACACTTTTTATTAAATTAGAAGATATAAAAATATACATAATATGTAAACTAAAAAACTATAAAACACAAATACTCACCGTTTTCGATGTTTTAGTTTCTTTCCATTTCATCTCCTGGAAATTCCTATCCTTCTAGCGTTTCTCGAAAGAATCCTCTGCCAAGCTTTACTTCCTCCTTTTAATTTTCACAGTCCTTATTCAATCTCTACATTTGTTCTATCCAGTTCTTTCAGTAAGCATATGTTTAATTAGCAGAATTTTATCTTGTTGATTTGTCACAAAATCATTTGTATTATCTGATACCAATTATTGTTCTTTTTGAATTGAAAAAAAAAAATTGTTTGCTAGAAATGTATTAAAAGATTATCACAATTAAAAGTTTAAAAAAACATAGATTAAAACTCAGATATCTAAATTTTGTTATTTATAATCAGTTATTGGTGTGTCCTCATTTAAATAAGTGTTTATTTGATAGATAATAAAGACTGAACTCTAGATAATTATTTGAATAAACACAATTCAAAACTTCAATATTTAATTTTTTTTTCTCCCCCAAAACTAACATTTTTATGAAAAAAATAAGATGTACCTTTTTATCAGATTTTTTTTTAAATAAAATATTTCAATTTCCTGTTTCCTTTCTTTCGATTACAAATTTTTAAATGCGGAAGAAGGGTTTCTTTTGTCCCTTCCCCTTTTTTTTTTCTCCAGAATTTTAGAGTTGAAAAAGAAGGGTCATTTCAATATTCCCGCTTTTTTTTACAAAAAAATTATATTCTTATTCACAGCGATTCCTTACGTATTTTCAATTTTTAGCTTTCTTCCCTATCAATTTTTGTAATTTACATATAACACTGAAGAGCTAGAAAAATTTGTTCACTGATTTTGTTTAGCATCTCCTGACCTTGATAATACAGAAGTCACATAACATATCCAATTACTTCGAGGTGTTATCATCAAGGTGTTATCTAGGCATGGTTTACTCCCGAGGCGATGATCACTGTAATGTTCATTTCCTCTCCTCAGGAGTATTCAGCACTTGGGTAGCGTTTATTTTTCCTTATCACACTGGAAAAAGAGCTAAGGCATAGAACATTTCAGGCAACGTGATTGGTCATTGCAAGTAGCCTGCAGATGTCCGAACCGTTATCTTCTGACTGGGGTGCCGTCATTATTGATTTATTAGAATTCATACATTGTTCTATAACGAGTCGTATTTTCTAAGATAATTATGAAAATTGGAAGTTTCATGCAAGTTGGTTGATCATAAGGTTTGCTGATTCACTTTTTGAATTGTTTAACTTTGTGGAGAAATGGAGGTAGTTCTCTAGTAAAACATCTCCAATTAAAACTTTGCTGCAGTCTATTAGCAATTATAGGAGGACTATCAGGTTTCTAATTCTTTTGGCTTTGGAGCTGTCTGCTTCTGAGTGACTTTCACTAGTGAGAGTTATTGGGAGACAGTTGATATTGTAGGAGCTAATGTTGGTGCATTAGAGGGGATTTCATGTTGAGTTGTCACTCATTGGAGAATTTATTGGCAGACAAAAGAGATGGCTGAGAATTTGGAGTGATTTAGATTCCCGTAGTAACTGGAAAACATTTTTCTTCATCTTTTTTTTTGCAGTAGTAGATTTGGCAATTTCAGTTTGTTTTCTCTGAGCTAGAAAGTTGTTTAGTACTTCCAGAAATGGCACTTTCATAGACATTACAATCAGATTCAGGGGCAATGGGAGCTAATTCCTGAGAGTTTTACTGTTTGACAAATTTTTGATGGATTTCCCATCTCCAAGTAATTGTTTTTTAATGCATAGATTAATTAGGTAGAAGATAGCTTATTTAGGTTGAATTCACTAGTCGCCTGCTTTTTTCAGCAATCTAGTCTAAATATCTTTCCATTTCTCGCATCTAATAATGACTGAGTCCATTTAATCTACTTAAAATTCGAATAGAATTCAGGTGTCCCAGATCCGTTTTGGAAACATCTTTCGCATGAGTTGGCTCATGGTTGCAATAGAACATCCAGTTACCTTCTTTGTTGAAACATTGGGTAGTTGTGATCAATGAGAGATCAATTTCAACAAACTTATGCTGTTAAGTCCAGACTTATTCCTAGAACCAACTTGTAGCAGCTTCTTTAACATGATATTTCATTCTACGGCAGAATTGTCCACATGTCTGGGAATAGATACTGGACATGAATGGATTTGGGTGATGAAACAATATGCTTACATATCTATCACTGACATTCTTTATATGCGCCAGTATCAAGTCAATTGCACATAAATCCAATCTTTCGAAAATCTATGAGATTGAAAAGTTTCTTACCAAAGTGACACGAATAAGTTTTTTCCTGTGTAGTCAATTATTGTACTTATGTGAGCCTTTGGCCCAGTAAACCTGTATAAATGACAGCCAAAATGCATGTTACCACTGGTACATATCTCATTAGCAGCAAAGTCCATGACCATTTGAGAAAATGTTGCATGTTTTTCGCCGTTTTTAAATATTCTCATAACTTTTTGATGTCTTCTTTTTTCAGGGCCTTTTTCTAGCTGGCTCATGTAGTTTGATAAAATGCTACTGTAGTAGCAGGAACTGATCTTACAGCTTAAATAAAGAATACCATAATTCTCTTTACACAAATCTTGAAGGCACTGACATTTTCATCACAGTTTGACAATCCTTGGCTTTTTTTATCCTTGGCTAAGGCATTTGATAAAAATACGTCTGAAGATGTAGTGAAGTCACACAGTGCCTGGGTTAGATGGCAGATAATTTAGGAAATTATTGCAAGGTACACATCTGTAGCTTTTTCCCAATGAGAAGGGCCTCAAGAGAGAGATTTTTGATAATTTATTTTAAAGGTATTAAACTGTCAGGTAGCAGAAAGTGTGTACTTATCATCTGGCAGGCACTTTTTTCTGATTCTTTCATTTCAACCAGTGAAATTTGCTGTCTGTCATCCGTTTCCGTAAATAATACTTTTCTAGGTTCTAAGCAAATGTGCGAGTTATGTACGACATAGAAGATTCGTGCTAATTTCATGCAAGCCGGTTTGTCTGAGAATGTCTCCTTGATAGTTCAAAATTTGCAACATATTTTCAATAATTCTATGTAATACTCGAAAGTAACTGTAAGATATTCTTTAAATTAGAGGCAGTGCAAAAATCATACCATTTTTTTTTTGTTCTGTTTCAGTTCATGGCTATTTTTCAAAATGAGACATTTATTTAATGTATGCTCACATTGCCTATGTTATGTGGTGGATAGCTCAAAAGTTTATGGAAAGAACACTTTTTGTATCTAGAACGACTGAAAAGTATCTTAAAAGTATCGATTCTTGATATTGCATATTTTTAAGATATGAAACTGATTGGTAGCAGATCGCGTAACACTCGTGGAAGACTTTTTTATATGGAAGCACTTTTTCCTAATCTTTTTTTGTTTTCTAAATCTTTCTATCAGTGAAATTTGTTGAGGTAACGTATGTTTAGGTAAATAGTACTTTCTTCGGTTCTGTACAAAAGTGAGAGTTAAATAGAACATAGAAGATTCATTTATATTTTTTGCAAGCTGGTTTTTCTCTGAGAAAGTTTCTTGTTCAGAATTTTTAGCTTATTTTCAGTAGATTTTGGTAGGTTAATGTCTCTAAGATTGGAGAGTAGCAGAGTAATCAAATTTAGAAGATTTTCTTTAATTTATGGATATCACAGGGATCGCACAATTTTTGTTCTGTAGTAATGCAGTTCATGGCTCATACGTAAAAGGAGACATTTATTTTACGTATGTTCACATTTCTCACAAATCTTGGCGCAATAATAAATTATATGAATATTTTAATTTTAAATCTTATAGTACTTGCTTTGAATGTAGCTCTACTAGGAGGATGAAGGGAAAATCCTTGGTTGTATTTGGCTTTAAATCCTTATCATCTTCATTCTATATAGATCATGTGGCANACAGAATATTTAGTTATGTATTTTAGTTCACATTTTTCACAAATCTTGGCGCAATAGTAAATTATATGAATATTTTAATTTTAAATCTTATAGTACTTGCTTTGAATGTAGCTCTACTAGGAGGATGAAGGGAAAATGCTTGGTTGTTTTTAGCTTTAAATCCTTATCATCTTCATTCTATATGGATCATGTGGCACACCTCTGTCATATGCATAAGCATACTTGTACCAATTTTCAGGCTCTTCAGTGAATATTTTGCATGTTCTGTATTTAAGTGGGTCAAGAGTCATTAAAGTTAAATCTTTAGGAATCCCCACAAAACAAATTAAATCTCATTGTTGTTACTACCTTCCATTTATCTCCTCCAATCCATGTTCAATAACATGAGAATGCAATATTTATTCCATACTATTCCCATTAAGCGCATTTCTCCTGTTCGGTGCATGGTTTCCGAACCACAGATGATGGCATCCAGCTGGAAAACGCACCAAGCCACAGCGCACTGCACAAGAGAAGTTTGAGGAACACGAAAGAAAGCACACTTAACCTAAGTCGCACCTCTTTCAGCCGCCTGATTTCTATCCTGTGAACATGTGTGGGAAGAGCTTGAAAGATACAATACCAATGAATTTCGATGAACATCCCTTTCACAATTCATGGTCTTAGACGGTACAAATAATGATTCAACATTTCGGGGAGCCCACACCAAAATCAATCCTACTGAATAAAAGTCCAAGAGAGAGATGAAAGGATGATCAGGTTACCCAGTGTATATTTCTCACTCTCAATGAACTCCTTCCCAGGTATTCTTCTCCTAAAGTTAGATTGTATTCGATAGTTGAGGAATTTTTATGCATTAAAGGCGGTATTTACTGCATGCTTTTCATGCATAATCTTCCCCTCAGAAATACTGCTTATTTTCTACTATGTAGTTGTAGCGTAATTGATCCCCTGAAGCATCTAGTGACATTACATTATTTTTATCAAAACAAACTTTTTGTTAATTAAAAGAGTAGATGCAGGGGTTCCTATGAATAGGATATGCATGGAAATGACATGCACTTACTGGTTTTTTGATAAAACGAGATTTCATTACTTTCAGTTTCTAATGAAATTTACAGATCTTTATTTATTAATTGTAAAATTAATTTTATGTATTGTAAAATTCACCTGTTTTTTCTTAAAGTTAGCCAGAAACTAAAAATTCTGTGTGCATTATAATTTTTTGGAATTAATTGGAAAAGCCTAATATGGCTTCAAGTCATTTTGGGGATGATGAAGGGGTTTTATTTTTAGCAATACTTTTTAAATGCTATTATTATCAAATATTATCAAATTATGTTGTAAGTAAATTGGGCAAAATTTATTTTTGTATAATACAGTTTAAAGGAGTTTCAAGGTGCATGC